TGTGGAAAACGATTTTTTTTCAAATGACCTCTTCTTTGCTATGTGGAGGGGGGAGTGGAGGAGGAGGATGCTTTCTCCTGGAGCATGGCCGCGCGCTGGGAAAAAGCGGAGGAACAAAGGGAGGGGAAAGGGTGAGATGCGGGGGGAAAGGACGATGGATAGAAGTTATTTGATTCGCAGCGATGGGTAAGAGGATGAGAGTAAGTCATGGAAATGAGGGGGGGGGGGAGGAAGCAAGGGAGGTGTCGCGGTCCTGGAGAGGGCCTCGTCCTCCAAGTAGGACCCTAGGCTTCTTGCAAAACAGGTGAGCATGTCTCCGTTTTCCCCTTCCTTTACCTGTTCTCTGTAAAGCACGGTCGCACAGCGCGCTTGGGCTTCGCTTGTCTCCGGCGTAAGCTGACTTCCTGTTGATGACCGCGAAGTAGCACCAGCACTTCCAGTCCCTCCCGCCTTGAGTTTTGAAAGGACTGCAGGCGAGACCCGTCGACTGAAAAAAGAGGTGGCGCTTCCAGTCGACGCCATAAATATGCGAACTAGGTGAGGAGGGGTGTGTAGAAAAGAGGGGGTTAGGGGGGGCTCCCTCAGCCCATTAAAGGGAAGCGTATTCGGTATGGAGACTTATATGTCTTCATGTGTCATGCCCAAAAATCACTCGAATGCGGCTGATCAACCGCAATAAACCCCCGCAGCAAATTTTATAGCCACGCCTTCGTTCCCCACGGCCTGGTAAGCCTGATGCTGGCTTTAATGGTAAACTAGTTCAGAGGCCGCGGCTTGCTGCAAGCTATCGCCTTCAGAAAAGAGCGAGTGAGCCCACTCATGCCCTGGAACAGGCATTGGGGAAACCACCGCTACTACAAAAAAGTAGCGGCATGACGATGCCAACCATGACAGAACAAAGCAATTTCCCTGCATACAACACCTTGCATTTGGTGCCACGTGCAGGGGCTCATCCTGTTGGAGCAGGGTTGCTTTTTTTTTCAGGCGGGAACGACGGGATGATGGGCTTGATCCGGGTAGCTTTTGAAAGTGTCCCTCGGACGGGGTCGCGTGGAAAGGTCGTGCTATCACTTTTTTGGCTTGGTTTAAACTCGGGACAAGGCACTAGCTGGATACTTTATGAGATTACTAAGTCGACTTTTCTCTTGAGTGTGTTTTTATTGTTGGCAAAAGAAACTCATGATGACAGAAAGCTCATCATGTCTGAGGACCAAAGTATTGCTGTCGTGCGGTGAATTTAGGAATCAGGTGTAAATTTTCTTTGCCGCAAGGTAATATGTCATCCTCCATAGAGCCAAGCTGTTTACTATCACCACTCCGCAAGCGCTCACTTCCTCACAAGAACGATCGCGACACCTCCCTCAATTGCTTCCCTTCCATCCCAATATCTTCCACTCCGCACAACCTGGCCGCTTCTTCCCTTGTCCTCGGGCCTTGATATTGAACAAGAGAGGCCACATCTCTCTCCCTCTCTTCGTTCCTTCCATCTGTCCGACCTCCACCACCAAAAGGCTCCCGTGGCACTAAACTGTGAAAGGGGTGAGCTGTTTCGTACAGAGCCGCCAATGCCAGCATGCGCGCTTCGCTGTAGGGAGGACCTAAAAGTGGACAAGGAGAAATTGTCTTAGCAAGGCCGGTCGTCCATCCTGCCGCTCCTCATTTGTTCCTCTCCCCTTCCCACCACACCAGCAGAGGTATCGAATCCGCCCTTTACTCTTCCTCCGTTTCCCCCCCCCCACCACACTATCCCCTCAATCTCACCGATCATCTGCAGTCCCACGGGACGGCCGTCTCGAGTCAGGCCGCAGGGGAGGGAGAGGCTAGGACCGCAGGAAAGGGTGACCACGGAGGAAAGTCGGAGCCAGTCGATGTAGGACGGCAGGGGGGTGGCGGCGACGTGGGTGGGGTATCGGAGCTCTGCGTGGAAGGGGGGGAGCTGGTGGCGGCGAACCAGGAAATCAAGGGGGAAAAATGGTAGAAAGCGGTGTGGAGACTGGACTGGAGGGGGAGAGGATGACGCCCCCAGCAGCCTTTTTCCTTTCTTCCTTCTCCGGCTTTTTCCTCCTCCCCTCGCGTCTCCTGCCTTCACCCCCTCCTTACCATGACCGCGGGCGTAAGCAGGAAATCAAAGTCTTGGAAGAAGCCCAGCCAGTCCTTCACGTAGGCCTGATGCGCCTTCTTTGCCTGAAATCCGGGGGGGAGCGCGCGGAGGAAGGGCGCCGTAAGAATTAAACGGCAGAAA